CCCAACCCCAACCCCAACCCCAACCCCAACCCCAACCCCAAACCCAAACCCAAACCCTAATGATGATGATAATGAAAAAGAAAATAAAAAAGAGTTTAAAAAAACTCAAAAAATTGAGGTCAAAGGAGAATAAGATTGTTTTTTTGGTTTTCCATAAAAATTTATATCTTCAAAATAATTATTATTAAGCAAGAATGTTAATTAAGTTAACTTTCTTATAATAAATGAAAAAAACTAATTTATATTAAATCAATCAATTGATTTTGAAGCTGGTCAACTTTGGAGAACCATAAGTGATGATGGGCAATATGTCGCAACTTGGGATAATATTTCATGTTAAATTTAAATTAGAAAATATATTGAATGATATAAATAATTTAGATTATTGGCATATTTTTATTAAGCTTTGCTTTAAATCTCTTAACCTTAAATCTGATATTATATTTTATAAGGTTCAAATAAAAATTGCTTTATATTATGTAGAAAGATTATGATTATTATATATACATAATTTTATATAGAATCTCAAGTGAGCTTTCTTCTTATAATAGAAATTTAAGAGTTGAATGATAATCTCTTTTTATTTTAACACTTTAAGTTTTTGGTTTAGGCATAACTTTCTCATAATTAATCTTTCCTCTAATGATATTACTTAATAATAAAAATTCACTGTGTCTGTAAGATAGAAATTTTATTAAAACTTTATCGATATGCATTTCAAGATTTTATTTCTTATTTCATTCCTTAATCTAACTTTTTTAATTTTTCCAACTCCTTCAAAAACATTATTCTTAAAGAATAAAAATCTGAATGATTAAAAAGAGTTAAGAATTGGGATTGTTAAGATAATAACAATAGTCTAAGTCTACTAATTAAAAGACAAGTCAAGTATACATAATAAGATTCAAATCCAAAGTTAAATAATAAGAGATGCATAATTATTAAAATTTAAGAATTACTTTTAAAACACTCCTTCATTAGAGATCTTAGAATAGACTAAATAAAATAGAAAATTGATTATCCATTTCCATTAATCTAATATAATAGATGATTCTTTCATCCTAAATAAAGAATTTCATGTAAAATAAGGCATTTTATATTTCTTAGAAAATTTATAATTTCATTAAAAGTTTAACTATATACAAAAAAGAATTAAGTACGCAACAATAAAAATAATCTCAGGATTATATCTCTATAAAACAAAGAATTATATAAAAATTAATAGTTAAAAATTAAACCAAAACCCTGTAGATAACTTTTAGCAAGAAGAATGGATCTTAATGTGAAATATCATATAGTTGAATATGAGGAGGATAGTATTGTTAAGGGTTATTAGATTGATATAAAAATAAAAGATAACCAAAGTAACTTTAAAGATATTATAAAATTTGGAGATGTAGAACATATTTGGGAAATAATGTAACTCAAGAAATAATTTGATATAGATAATTCAGAAATCACAGTAAATAGAAAATGTAATAAATTGCAAATAAAAATGGACCATATTATACTATTTTTAATAATTGTTAATCTGTTGCAAACGAGGTGACTGAATAACTATTGTTTCAAGAAATCTCTTAATGTAAGGTCAAATTTCTAGCAAAGGTTACAAAAATATAAGGTGAATAAGAAAATGGAGAGTCAAGACCTCATTCAGCTTTATTGGTTATTACTTAATTTGACATATTTGGCTAATATTTTAGATATTATATTGTTGAAATTTTGAATGATGGAAAAATACATTGTTATTAGATGAATATGAAATAAATCCCTTCATCACTCAGCAATATGAGTTTATTTGAAAATGAACAATGTCTGTTGGAAATAGAGTCAAAAATTGATGAGTTTTATCTTGAGTAGAAAATAACAGACATTATTGATATAATGAAATAAAGTCAAACCATATTAAATTCTAATAGTGAATTAATTACAAAAACTTTTGAAAAAATCAATAAAATATAATAAAAAGAAAAAACAAGATAACAAGATAGTTGCTTGATTATGTGATTGAATTATTTTATTCAATTATAATAGAATAATTACGTTTTCACTTTTAATATTCATCTGCAAGTGAAATTAGTTCCATACATTTATTTAAATAATAATAACAAACTTTGTAGCAATTATTAATTTATAGATAATATACTTTTATTATATTAAATAATTGATAATGATGATACCTTTCTTTTATATATTAAAGGAAATCATAAATAATTATCAAATGTAAAATTATAAATTAGTCAGGATGAATAGATTAATTTTTAATTTAAATCGAGTTTTATACTAGTTATGGTGAAAAAAAAGTAAAATTATTTATTTTTATTAATCATAATTATTATATATATATATCATAATTCAATTTCTGATTTAATATATCCTAAATTCCTTGTCTTATATTTAACTTTAATGTAAAAATATAATAATAGGACACTAATTATTGAAATCAGAGCATATATCCACCTTTTACTTGATTTTTCTACTTAAGGAGGGTAAAATAAAATGTTATAAGTTCCATTTGAAAAATCATTAGAACAAAATATAGAAATATTAATTTAGTTTTAAGTTTTCCTATTCAAAAGACATGTTACATTCCAAGTACTTATTGAGTAATTATATATAGATTAATTATAAATATAAAGGGATGTTCCATTTTGATATTTTTAATCAACAATCATTGCATAATTAGATATTGAAGTAATAAATAAACCTTGCATTAAAATAGGTTCAATTAAATTTTCATCAAAGAGATTATTCAAATAATAAACTCCAACAATCGTTTCTTGATTAAATAAGAATTGTTGCATCAAAACTCCATACTTATAAAAAGAATAACCAGTATTATTTAAATTACCATAATTTGGAATAGTTCTTAGAGGTACTGTTTAAAATAAACTTTATTGTAATCTAAAATCAATTATCTCACTAATATAATTTATATCAAAATTAGTCAATAAAATAATTGCTCTATTTTAAAATGTTTACATAATTAAAACGAATGAAGGAGGTTATTAAGAACGACTATTCTCATTATTGCTAATATATTCTTTTACAAAAGCGCTATTTTGTAAAGTTATTTAGTTATTTTCAACTGATAAAAAAAGATAATAGAGTTATTAAATCCTTTCTTTTTAATGAATATAAAACATAATTATTTATTGTTATTATTATATAATAAAAGGGCTAGTTGTTACTATTTAAGAAATTGAGAAATCTTGACAAGAATAATTTGAATTGAATATCGGCTAAAAAGCATTGTTAGATTAATTTAACCAATACAATTGTTAGTACTATTACTAATCTAAGGAACCTGAGACAAAAATTTAGTTGAAAACGCTACTTATTTTGGAAATATTTAAAAACATTCTTGGAAGTTATGTAGTTTCTACTCGGGTAATATAGCCATAAGAATTTAAAGTAAAGTTCAGTAAATATTGGTAAAAAAAGGAATTTGATTGTATTATGAAGTACTATCTTAACAAATTGAATATAATGTGTAATTAGATGAGGTTGATTTTAGACATTCACTCAAGTTTAGATTTGAATAGCTTAAATTATATATATTACTTAAATCGCTATTTACAATTTATATGTAAGAGTTATTCTGAAAAGCAAAAAATTCGTTATTGATTGATGTGATTAATGAGTAATTGCTATAATTAGGAATTTTACTGTAATTATGAAAAAATTATGTTAAACTACAATATTGGTTTATACCTTAGGTTTAACTGATATTACAATATCCAACTTATCTATCAAGAATTAAATTCATTGGATATGAGACATTTTTAGATTAAGGAATTATGGTATTATTAGTTAAATCAATTTATAAATTGTTTTAATAT